CAGTGCACTGACCAATAAAGGCAAGAATACCAAATGCTTTCTTCACGATTCTATCCACCTGGGACTCCACTTTCAAGGAACTATGAAACTGAGCTCCAAGGTCTCTTTGTTCAGCAATACTCCCCAGGACCTTACCATTAAGTGTCTTAGTTCTGCCCTGATTTGCCTTTTCAAAATGCAGCACCTTACATTTATCTAAATTAAACTCCATCTGTGCACTCCTCAATCCATCGGCACATTGGCCCATCTGATCAAGGTCCCGTTGTACTCTGAGGTAACTTTCTTAGCTGTCCACTACACCTCCAATTTTGATGTCACCTTAAAACTTATTAACCATACCTCCTATGTTCACATCCAAATCATTTATATAAATAACAGAAATTGAGCAAACTTCATCCAAGACTGTATTTTATTTGATCGTGACTCATGATGAACCATGTCACTGGTTCCATTTTCTTACATCACTGAGAATCTTTCTGGTCCTTCTGGCCCTACATGGAGTTTTGGGCAATTGAGAGCTGCTGAATGCTGAACACTCCCGATTCTCTGGCAGAATGCAAGGCTATGAGCCAGATGGAATATTTTTGTATGAGTCCTACCCACCAAATCCCCATCCCATCCCTACAAACCTTTGGCCTGTGCATCTGGAACACTCTCACTTTCTCTCAATCAATCATGGAGTGCAAAAGCTTTGCTTGGCCTCTCATTTTCCAACTTCTTTCTCTTCAGGACACAACTGCTCTGATTTGACCTTGCTGCTTATCCAACCATATTTACATACCCTTATTTGCATCCTTATTTCTCCTTCAATTAGGTTCCCTCTCTCCTATTCTTAAAGTTCTTCCAATCTTAGCTGCATTTTGCTAGGTCTCAATTCAGCTGCTTGAGCTTTTGGAGTTCAGGGTTAATACTCAGTCCTGTCCCTCCCCAAGTCAGGCTTGCTCTTGTGTGCATCCATTTATGGCAGTGCGTAAAACATTCCAAATAGCTGCACAGCACGCACCCCAGAGTGAATCTTGGTAGATTGGGTGTGAGCTATTTCTCTGGTCTTTCTCATGCAAATTAAATCCTGTAGGTCTACAGTCACGTATCATCCATACTAGGTTAAAAACAGCAGTTTTCCTTCCCTAAAGGACATTACTAAACAGATGGGTTTTAATGACATTTATTTCGTGGTATCATTAGACTTTTAATTCCAGATTTTTAGTGAAATCAAATTCCACCATCTAGAGTGGATTTGAATCCAGATTCCCAGCCCACTAGGTCTCTGGATTATTAGTACAACAAGAATACCACTATGCCTCAGATAGTAGGAACTACCGATGCTGGAGAATCTGAGATAACACGGTGTAGAGCTGGATGAACACAGCAGGCCAAGCAGCATCAGAGGAGCAGGAAAGCTGACGTTTTGGGTCGAGACCCTTCTTCAGAAATGGGGGAGAGGAAGGGGATTCTGAAATAAATAGGAAGAGAGGGGGAGGCGGATAGAAGATGGATAAAGGAGAAGATAGGTGGAGAGGAGACAGGTCCGTCTAAGTGTGCAGATGTGCACATACATAGCACAATGTTCTGCACATGGAAATCAGTGCTGGCACACTGATCACAGCATTAACTGCCAGTTCCAGATGTTGTCCTACCCATAGGTCTTGGAGACCTGTACAGCTGGTAAGAAAATCAAAGGTCCCTATCCCTATGTCATTAACCTTAGGGGATTTTGTTTTTGTTTAGGTTCTGCCATGAGTTTACAAAGCATCATACAATCTTCTACCAGCTGTTCCTTGAGCAAATGTACCTTGACCTTTTCTAGTTTAACCTATTCTGCTTTTTGAATGAGATGAATGAATGAATGATTTTATTGTCGAGTGTATTTGACAGTGAGAAAGACATTGAACAGAGAAAAAGAATGAAAAGTTTTTCCACTGTTGCCTAGATCTGACACCGTTTTGAATAATTTAAGATCAAGAAAAAAAACTTTAAAAAGTAACAGCTTAAAGAGAGTCCATCAGTCTTGAGCCAGCTCATTACCAACAACGCCTGTGACACCATCCCTCCTCCACTACTTCACCATCTCCAGTGCTGGACCCAACCAACTAAGAAGTCGCCAATCCTCAGGTGCCATTTTTCGCCACTAGGTCTAAACTCACCAATGTCGCCTCCGTCAATGTAGCAGCCACCGATTCTAATGTTAGGTCCCATGCTCACCCTGGAAAAGGAAGGGCTCACTCACCAGCACGGCGAGGTCCGCACCGGGCCCGCTCACCGGCACGGCGAGGTCC